CATGGCATTTGTTTCCAATGCACCACGAGGGCTGGACGATGCGAGAATTGGCGAAGGTGAGCGGATGCCTATGACACCTCCGAGACGTCTTACGCATGCCTCAGAGGCCGCTTGGCCTGGTTGGCAGGATCGGCGCACTTACAGGCACAAACCATATGACCCTAGGTCCACAGGCTCAGCCGCGTCGGACGCCGATCCCAACCGCGACAACAGGTCGCTTGAGCTCCCCACTGGATGAAACGAGTGGGATCGGCCATTTGCGCGGGCTGATGAGCCCGTAGACGATGTGGACGGCCGCGGGCGCGATGGTGGCTGGGACCCCTCGCGGGGCTACGCCGACAAGGAGGACCGCGACCACGTCGCCGGATGCTGGGTGCATGCTGATCGCCACCAACTGATAACTACGAGCGCAGCGACATGGCATTGGTTCACCGTGGAGGAATACAACCGACACCTTCCGAGTGAACCCGAAGATGAGTCATGGGGCAAGAATGGGCGCCCCGCCGACGGGCCTGGACACGCGGGGCCCGGCAAGTACCTGCGGGGAGTCCCGCCCCCGAAGCGCAAGCTCGAGAGGCACTGAGAACGGCTGCTGCGCCCCTGCCCGCGCCGCTTCCGCCGCCTGCGCCAATGGCGAGGCCGGCCGACAAGGGCAAGAACAAGGGCCAGAGCACTGGCTGGGGTCATGGAAAGGCAAAGACCACCATGGACAACGCCAGCAAGATCAATCTCAGTGGAGCTGGCGGTCTGGGCGCGATCTCAATCGTCAGCAACGCCCAGAAGAAGATTGGTGGCGACGCATTTCTGCAGATGCGCTGGCACGACCCCGTCGGCATCAGGACTACACTGCTCGGCTCGGCCGGCGCGCTGCGGGTGCAACAGGCGCGGGGGGCCTTTAAGGAACGAGCTGGCATTGGCCTATAGCTCGGGCGGGGCACGTCGGGCTGCTGCGGCCCAGCGCTCCTCGGCAACCGCGGTCGAGCCGTGGAAGCTATTTGGGGTTGGCCCCCGTGGGTGTGCATATGTGCAGGCCGATTGGGCGTAGGTCGACGCGGCCCTACTCGCCCCGCCCCGGGGGGAGTTGATGCGCTCCTCTCCGCGCCGCCATCCTGTTGCCGTTGCCATCATTGCTGTTGTACTGACTGATCGTCTGCAGCCATTCAGACTCGAGAGGTATAGGATAACGGAGCGAGCTAGCTTGCGCGCGCGAGGGGTCGCCCCCTCATCGCTGTCGTGTCATCGGCCGGCCGGCCTCCTCCCTACCACGCATGCCTTTCTTATCCGCTTAACGGAACATTCCTTCCTTGCCATGGCTTCGGCGGGGCCCGGGAGCTCTCCTCGCGGAAGTTACCTTCAGGGGCAATCGATGCTACATCGTCACATCTTGCAGGGACAGTCAATATCCAGGCAAAAAGCTCAGGCTGTTTAGAACATTTCTGGTTGAGACTGCGTCATTTGACACGATCGGCTTGATGTTATGAGGACCTTGCTTTTGTTTTTTGAGCTTACTCTTACACCAGAGAAATCCCAACTCGTGGATGGTTTGGTCGATAAGAAATCGATTCGGAACCAGGGAACGGGGAGCACACCGGAATCTGCCCGGAACCATTCACGACGAACCCGGGAAACTTGAAACGGCTTTGGAACCTGGGAACCCCGGCCACCAAAATCGGCGGAACATTTTGTCTTTCAATTCCCGCTAGGACCCCTTCGTGATTATTTCGAGGTAGGCCTGTGAGAATGCCTGCGCAGTCGGCCCCTGATCGGAAACTGTCGTGGTGTTCCTTGCGCGACCTTGTTTTGTGATCGTGTTTTTATTCGTTGTTTTGCCGATCGGCGCGGGCCCCGAACACCCCCCCAATGGAGTGGATTTTGGCAGTGTTTTTACGCCTGCTTCGAGCGGGTGGAGTCTCTCGACTCTCCCAGAGGCAATACTCTTGCAATCCGTCGCTCTAAGCACAGGTCTGGAGCCACCCCCCCCCCTTCCGCCCAAGTTCGAAACGCCAGATAATACATGTGTGTATGTGTAAGAAAAACAAAAAACATTTGGGCGTAGAGGCGCCGCCGAGGTGGTCGCTCCGAGGCCACGCCTGGCCGTTCCGAGTCGGCCCCACGGGATCCCCACTGAATTGTGTGTATTCGGTTTTTTTTTTGTCCGAAGAACTTAAAGCGACCCCTTCGCTCCCTCCTCCTCTTCCTCCTCCTCCTCCTCCCTCCTCTTCCTCCTCCTCTTCCTCCTCTTCCCCCTCCTCCCCCTCCTCCGCCTCTTCCTCCTCCTCCTCCTCCTCCTCCTCCTCCTCCTCCTCCTCCTCCTTCCCCTCCTTCTGATTCCGGGAGGCCCTTCCTCGGAAGGGGCCGATTTTTTCCGAGTGTCGCCCTCCCTCGCCCCGCCCACTGCCCTCTCGCACCGAGGATCCTCGGGACACGCGTAACCCTGATGTGTTGTTTCCCCCGCGCGGCTCTCGTTACAGTGGAGACCCATGCCAAGAAACACCTTGCGTGTCTCCAGGGGGCTCTGGGCTTCTTGGGTTTCGATGCATTCGGTGATGACAACGCGACGCTCCCGTACCAGAAATCAGTGGACGTCTTGTGGCTTCAGGGTTGGGTTTCTCGTGGTCGAGCTCCTACTGACTGTGCATGCTCACGCGTGCCACACCAGAAATCTGTGGACGTCCTGGGGCCTCAGGGTTGGGCTTCTTGTGATCGAGCCCTTAAGTACTGTGCATGTTCGCGCGTGCCCGTGCGCTTCCGGCAGCTGCTCCCCGGCCTGCGCACAATACCCCTCGCGGCCTGAGTGTGGCTCCCGTCCCCCTTGGCCCCTCTGGCCTTAAGTCGGGCCTGTCTCTCTACAGGAGGAATGTTCAAAAATAGTTCAAAAATCGTACGGGGGCGATTTTTCTACTATTGTTGAATATTTTTGCCCCGAAATCCTGTAGGGCGACATGCTCGACCTAAATCTGCCCCCCCGCACCTCCTCTTCTGTGCCTTCTGGGCCTTCTGTGCGCTCCGCTTCTGCTCGACCACCGCCTGACTTCCTTGCGGCCTCGGACCACAAAGCAACCTGTGGTCCCTCGTGTCAGGCGATCGCAAACATGGATCAAGGGGGCGTGGATTAGCGACGGGTCCCGTTTCCATGGAAATTGCGGATTTCCGCCGCCGAATGCGGCTTTGGCCGCATTTTGGGGAGGGCACCTTCCCCGATCCATGGATTTGGCGACCGCGCGCCAAATCCATGGATCGCTAGTCCATGTTTGCGCGCCCCCGATCATGGGAGCTTCAAAGGGACCCAGACTTCCTTGCGGCTTCGGTGGCTTCGTCCGACGAACTTTGGTCGAACTCTGGACGAACTTGAGTCGACATCTGCACCATATCCGGTCGAGATCCTGGCGACATCACGTTGATGATGGGCCGACGTGGTCCGCAGAGGCCCCTCGCGCAGGCGAGCACTATCCAGACTCGCGCAGGCGAACACACTCCTGGCCGAGGGCCCAACCATGTGCAGGTGTGAGCGCCGCAGTTGTGAAGATCTTCCTTGGTGAAGGCTCTACGGGCCACAACACGGTCCGTAGACGCGCTAACGGCTATGTAGGTAACGGCGATGTAGGCTTCGGCATTGTAGGTGGGACTTGAAGGTGGGACAGGTTCGTGGCCAAACCAATTGTAGGACATGGCGTCTCGCGCTTTCCTACAAGTCCCTGTGTCGTTTTCGCTCGGTATATTCGCACATTTTGAATGTAGGAAAGTGTGCTTCGTGATGTCCTACAAGTTGTTCTGCGCGACCTCGGCGTCACACAAATCATATGCCCAACATCGCCGTTCACCAACATCGCCGTTGGCGCGGCCTTGGATGGTTGGTGTTACTGGGTTCCATCGGATCCTCACATCTTCCCGTGTGCATCCACGGCCCCGCGGGATGGCCCCACGGGCCGTGACCCCGCGAGAATTTTGTGCGTGCCCTCGCGTTGGTCCAGCGCGGAGCGTACGCGTGCGACCCCGTATCCGCGGGGGTCGCGCCCAAGAATCCATCGGGAGCCCTGAGACGGGGGTCGATGCGCAGGATCCTGCAGGGCCAGAGTCGCATCGACCTGGGCTTGGGTGCAGGATCCTGCAGGATCTTGCAGGACCCTTCGCACTGACCCGGGTCTGGGTGCAGGATTTTGCGGGATTCTGCAAGGCTTGATTGACCCGGGTCTGGATTGACCTGGGTCAGATGATCCCCGAATCCAGAGTTCGAGGGCGCGGATGTGGACGCGTTCGTGGCTCGCCCTGCCCCTTCGGTCCTCGCCCTTCGCTCCTCGCCCTTCGCTCCTCGCGCTGGTCACCTTCACCCCGTCTTGTCGGTCTACGCCCCTTTCAGGACTCCGTGCCATAAGATGGGATGGACAGGGTTTTTCTCACCGGTGAACGTAGGTCATGGTAACGAATGAACGCGCGTTCTTAAAACATATTATTGAGAAAACGATGATTTATTGTAGTGAGAGACGGATGTATTGAATTGCGCCGCCGAAGCCGAATTCAAACAAGACAAACCATCATGTAGTAAACGCAGAAGCCGATTTACTAAATTCAAAAACGGATTTTCTAAATCTGGGGCCGTTCTTCTAGATCCCAGACTCTATCACTACCATGACATGCGTGGCTCGATCATTTTAAGCCGCCCGCCTCGTTTGGTGTCAGGAGCAGGTCTGTTCATTCGTCGCACCAGCTTGCGTTTTACACCGACCTCAACGTGCTCTGGTGCCTCTGGTGTGGTGCTTAGAGCTCCCATCACCTCGGTGATCTGGCTAAACCATGTCCAGGAGCCAGGGCGGAGATTGCGAGAGCGGAGGGCGCCGCGCCCGCCCGGCCCGCGGCGAACGACTGCAACATCAGCCGCAAGCCCACCGCCGCTTCCCCCCCTCTCCCCGAGACCACCTGCTGCCACTCAATATGCGATTTCGGCATGCTCGTCTGCTAGCCCGTATGGAGTTATGTTGACTCCACAGGTCTACTCTACTCAGCTACAACGCTGGGATAAGTGCGTGCGAGAAGTGCGAGCAGTGGCAGCGCGCTCTGGCGCTGCTCTGGGATATGCGGAAGGCGAGGCTGGTGCCCAGCGTCATCAGTTACAGCGCTGGGATCAGCGCGTGCGCGAAAATGGAGCAGTGGCATCAGGCTTTGGCGCTGCTCAGGGAGATGTCGAAGGCGAAGCTGGACCCCAACGTGATCCATACCACAATGCCAGGCGGCGTGCGTGCTGACAAAGTCCACCGTGTCAGACGGCTCGGCCCGGCGCGTGATGCCTCGGCAGCTGCGCTCGGGGGGCGACGCCGTCCTGGGCGCCCAGATGCTTCCCGGGTCGCTTCCGCTCGGCAACAAGCAGGCGTCAGAGGCTCTGGGCCCGCACCCGAGAACCGCCCAGAAGCCACACGATGCGCACCAGACCCTTCCAGACCAGCCTGGCCAGGCCCCGAAAGAGACGCTGCAGACCCCCCGAGTTCGCCCTAGCCCCGTGAGTTATTCACTGCTGCTGGCTTCCCGGGCGGTCCGTGCCTGCCGTGCTCCGGCTCTGCCCCCCCACGTGGGCTCGGCGTGGCACGACGCGCCCCCAAGGCAGCACCACAACGGGCCCCAGGAAGGCCCCAGGTGAGCCCCAGGGCGTCCCAGAGCTCCCTAGCCGGCCCCAAGAGACGGCCATGTGGTCGTATTCATTGTTTTGCTGATCGGCGCGGGCCCTCGCACCCCCTTCCCTCCCCCCCCATGGAGTGGATCTTGGCTGTTTTTCCCAACCATCCTGTGGTTTTGGGTCCTCGTTTTGAAGAAACGTCGCCCCGCGTTCCTCCTCCTCTCCTCCTCTCCTCCTCCCCCTTCTCCCTCCTCCACCATCATCATCATCATCATCATCATCATCATCATCATCATCATCATCATCATCATCATCACCCGTTTCAGCATAGTTACCCCTCACACGTTTCGTGGCCCCAAAGGGAGCCCCACCGAAGGTCCCAGTGCTACCGTCCGCATGCGTCCCCCCCCACCCAGAACAGCGTTTCGTGGCCCCATAGGGAGCCCCACCGGAGGTCCCAGAGCTACCGTCCGCATGCGTCCCCCTCACCCAGTACAGCGTTTCGTGGCCCATAGGGAGCCCCACCGAAGGTCCCTAGTGCGTACCCGTACAGCGCTTCGTGGCCTCATGTCCCAGTGCCACCGTCCGCATGGGTCCCCCCACCCAGTACAGCGCTTCGTGGCCCCATAGGGAACCCCACCGAAGGTCCCAGTGCTACCGTCCGCATGCGTCCCCCCCACCCAGTACAGCGTTTCGTCGCCCCATAGGGGGAAGGAACCCCACCGAAGGTCCCAGTGCTACCGTCCGCATGCGCCCCCCCCCACCCAGTGCAGCGTTTCGTGGCCCCGCAGGGAGCCCCGCCGAAGGTCCCAGTGTTCCGTCCGCATGTGTCCCCCCCACCCAGTACAGCGCTTCGTGGCACCATAGGGAGCCCCACCGAAGGCCCCAGTGCTACCGTCCGGATGCGTCACCCGCACCCAGTACAGCGTTTCGTGGCCCCATAGGGAGCCCCACTCGTGGCCCCATAGGGAGCCCCACCGAAGGTCACAGTGCTACCGTCCGCATGCGTCCCCCACGTCCAGTACAGCGTTCCGTGCCCCGCAGGGAGCCCCGCCGAAGGTCCCAGTGCTACCGTTCGCATGCGTCCCCCACACCCAGTACAGCGCTTCGTGGCCCCATAGGGAACCCCACCGAAGGTCCCAGTGCTACCGTCTGCATGCGTCCCCCCCCTCCCTGTACAGCGCATCGTGGCCCCATAGAGAGCCCTACCGAAGCCCCCAGTGGGACTGTCCGCATGCGTCCCTGAAACACAATTTTGGTATTTTCACACCACCCATTACGGCGTTTCGTGACCCCGTAGAGAGCTCCACCGAAACCCCCAGTGGGACCGTCCGCATGCGTTTCGGAAACCCTATTTGGCATTTTCACCCTTCCAGTACAACGCTTCGTGGCCCCATAGGGAGCTTCGCCGAAGCCCCCAGTGGGACAGCCCGCATGCGTCCCACACACCAGGTTTTGAATTATCTCCCCACCCAGTACGGCGTTTCGTGTCCCCATGGGGAGTTCGCCCGACGGCCCCAGTTTTACCGCCCGCATGCGTTCCCCCCCACCCAGTGCAGCGCTTCGTGGCCCCATAGGGAGCTCCACCGAAGCCCCCAGTGGGACCGTCCGCATGCCTCCTGGAAACCAAATGTGGCACACCCCTCATACGTTTCGTGGCCCCGTAGGGAAGTCCACCGAAGCCACCAGTGGGACAGCCCGCATGCGTCCCGCATGCGTCCCACCCGCCAAATTTGGCATTTTCACCCCACCCAGTACGGCGTTTCGTGGCCCCATAGGGAATTCGCCCGACGGCCCCAGTTCTACCGCCCGCATGCGTTCCCCCCCACCCAGTGCAGAGCTTCGTGGCCCCATAGGGAGCTCCACCGAAGAAATGATCCTGGCGAAGGACCCAACCATATGCAGTTGTGGGTACCGCAATTGTAAACATCTTCTTCGGTGAAACTCCTTATGGGGCCACGAAGCGCTGCACTGGGTGGGGGGAACGCTGTTTTGGGTGAGTGGTGTGTCAAGTAAGGTTTCTGGGACGCATGCGGACGGTCCCATTTGGGGCTTCGGTGGAGCTCCCTATGGGGCCACGAAACGATGTACTTGGTAAGTGAAAATGCCAAATTGGGCTCCCAGGACGCACACGGACGGTCCCACTGGAGGTTTCGGTGGAACTCCCTATGGAGCCACGAAGCCCTGTATTGGGTGGGTAAAAATGCCAGATTGGGCTTCCGGGACGCATGCGGACGGTCCCACTGGGGGTTTCGGTGGAGCTCACTAAGGGGCCACGAAACGCTGTCTTGGGTAGGTTGAAATGCCACGTTGGGATTTCGGGACGCATGCGGACGATGGCACTGGGGCCTTCGGTGGAGCTCCCTACGGGGCCACGAAATTTTGGATTGGGTGGGTGAAAATGCCACAATGGGTGTTTGGGGACGCTTGCGGACGGTCCCACTGGGGCCTTCGGTGGAGCTCCTTGTGGGGCCACGAAACGCTGCACTGGGTGGGTGATAATGCAACATTGGGTGTGCGGGACGCATGCGGACGGTGGCACTGGGGCCTTCGGTGGAGCTCCCTGTGGGGCCACGAAACGCTGTAATGGGTGGGTGAAAATGCGAAAATGCCAAATTGGGTGTTTCAGGGCGCACTCGGACGGTCCCACTGGGGGCTTAGGTGGAGCTCCCTATGGGGCCACGAAACGCTGTACTGAGTGGGGGGGACGCATGTGGACGGTGGCACTGGAGCCTTCGGCGGGGCTCCCTATGAGGCCACGAAACGCTGTACTGGGTGGGGGGGGGCGCATGCGGACGGTAGCACTGGGACCTTCGGTGGGGTTCCTTCCCTATGGGGCGACGAAACGCTGTACTGGGTGGGGGGGACGCATGCGGACGCTAGCACTGGGACCTTCGGTGGGGTTCCCTATGGGGCCACGAAGCGCTGTCCTGAGTGGGGGGGGCGCATGTGCACGATGGCACTGGGGCCTTCGGTTGAGCTCCCTATGGGGCCACGAAACGCTGTACTGGGTGGGAAAACGCATGTGGACGGTGGCACTGGCGCCTTCGGTGGGGCTCCCTATGGGGCCACGAAGCGCTGTTTTGAGTGGGGGGACGCATGTGGACGGTGGCACTGGGGCCTTCGGTGGAGCTCCCGGGCCACGAAACATTGTACTGAGTGGGGGGGACGCATGTGGATTGTGGCACTGGGGCCTTCGGTGGAGCTCCCTATGGGGCCGCGAAGCGCTGTCCTGAGTGGGGGGGACGCATGCACGATGGCACTGGGGCCTTCGGTGGAGCTCCCTATGGGGCCACGAAGCGCTGTACTGAGTGGGGAGGACGCATGTGGACGGTGGCACTGGGGCCTTCGGTGGAGCTCCCGATGGGGCCACGAAATGCTGTACTGAGTAGGGGGGACGCATGTGGACGGTGGCACTGGGGCTTTCGGTGGAGCTGCCTATGCGGCCACGAAGCGCTGTACTGAGTGGGGGGGGCGCATGTGGACGGTGGCACTGGGGCCTTCGGTGGAGCTCCCTATGGGGCCACGAAACGCTGTACTGAGTGGGGGGGACGCATGTGGACGGTGGCACCGGGGCCCTCGGTGGAGCTCCGTTGGGGCTACGAAGCGCTGTACTGGGTGGGTGAAACGCAGCGAAGAGGGGGAGGAGGGAGGAAGGGGAGGAGGAGAGGAGAGGAGAGGAGAGGAGGAGAACGCGGCCACCGTCTCTTCAAAACGAGGACCCAACAACACAGGTTGGTTGGGTAAAACGCCCACCATGTTGGGGCTCTGCAACGCCTCAACGGCCCAAGGTGCGCACGCAGCAGTAAGCGACAGCGAGCAGACGAGCACAACATGGAGCAGGCAAGCAGGCACGCTGACCAGCATGATGTTAAACACGCCGGCCAGCATTCAGCAGGATCGTCGGAGAGAGCTAGGCTAGCAGCCACGCGCGAATGACAGCGCGCAGGCAGGCAAGCAGGCAACAGACCTTCACCCTTGCCTGCGAGCAAGCTGTCGCGGACGTAAGTCCACGGGTCGACTCATGTTTTCGTTACAATGTTGGTGCCCGCGCGTGCGAAGAGGGCCTGCGCCCACATGGACTTGTTGTTCCTCCCTGGAGGCCCTTGGAGCCCGATAAACATTCCTGGAGCCTCCCGGAGCGGCCCTGAGTGCCCCAGTCAGCCCCGACATCCCTCCAAGACGTCCCCAGACGGCCTTGTGAAGCCTTTGAACGGCCTCAGGCGGCCGCACAGAGTCCCCAAGACGCCCCAAAACGACGCAAACGGTGATCCGCTTTACGACGGCTCCGCCAACGATGTTAAGTTCCAGAGGTGCTCGTGTGCACTTTCACCACTCTCTTACTTTCGGCTCCAGATCGCTCCCGCAGAAAGGGCCCGAGACTCTCTCCTCCAAGAGGGCCCCTGAGGCCCACAGGGGATCCCAGGAGGGTCCAAGACGCCCCCAAGATGGTCCGAGTTGGGGCACGCCGCCCTCACAGACGGCCCCAAGGCCACCCCCAGGCTGCTCCAGTCTCCCCCCCCCGAATACCGCATAGAGACCGCATGGGACACCCAGATGGCCCCAGGAGGACGGGGAGGGCCCTCAGCTCAAAGGAAGCGTCAAGTTCTCCCCAAGTAAGCTCCAGGTCGCCCCAAGAGGGCTCCATGAGCGACCCAGCGGGGGGTTCGTGTGCTGTCCGTTTCTGAAGCCTCCTCCTCCTCCTAGCTTCTCGCTCAGTGCTCCTCGCTCCACGCTCCTAGCTTTTCGCCCATGTGTGATCCTCGCGCATCGCCGCGATGCCGCATCGCCTCTCTCTCTCTCTCTCTTCTTCTTTCTCTCGTCGCTCATTGCTCCTCTCTTCCCACTGCTCCTCGCTTCTCTGTCATGGCCCCTCTTCCCTCGTATTCACTTGCACCTCTCCCCCTCCTCATTCTCCGGCTGTCCAGCCTCCCTTCTTACCCGCCTCTACTTTACATTCGCTCCTCACTTCTCGCTCCTTGATCTTCGCTCATCGCTTCTCCCTTCGACCTCCTTCCACCTCGATCCCCTCAGGAGCCGCAGGTTGCGTCATCAAGGCGGCAGGCAGCACCCTGCAACATCAAGCATCAACAGCGAAGTGAATTGAAGCAGCAGGCAGCAGGCAGCAGGCAGCAGCAGCTGCAGCACAAAGTCTCGGCAAGCGGCAGCACCATGCAGCAGGCAGGCAGGAGCACCCGGCATCAGCACGAACCGCCCATATTTGGCGATGGGTAGTACCATGCAGCCCACAAACAGCAAGAGCCAGCGCTCGCGGCAAACAATACCAGCAGCACACAGAAGCGACCGCATCAATCAGCACCACGCAATAGCCACCGCCTGCCCCCGCACATCGGCAAGGCACCAGCATCGTGTTACATATGGAGTTGCAGCACGTACAGTCGAAACGAATAGTATGTATTAGCGACTTTGCAGCGTTAGAATCCCTTAAAATAATCGTCCCCCGGGTCCGGTTTTTAAGGCGCCTTTGTTGGAAGCGGGGGGGTCTGGCTTATTAGGTGGTGCTTTTAAAAAGAAGACGAGGGGGGTCCGGTTTATTACGGCACTTTCGCGTATTCGTTATTTTGCGTTCAAGTTGTTGTTGCAGTTCGCATGTTGCTCGTCTTTCGTAGCTGATTTCGCGAATCCTCATCGCCATCGTCATTGTCATCGTTCTCGTGCTAATCATCATCATCACCACCATCATCGTCACTATCACCAACATCACCACCATCATGTTCATCAGCAGCATTACCAGCATTAACACCGACACCATCATCACTATCTTATTTTACTCGCAGTGACACTTAGTTAATTGCAACGCCGCCGTAATCAGAAGCGTCACACTCGCCGCCGCCGCCAAAATCATCATCAATATCCCTGCCATACTACTGCATCCTAGCCACCACCATCACGGTCACCATCACGGTCACCATCGGCCCCGGGGACGCGAAGGTTGGCCAGACAAACAAGGCATGGCGCAATCAGAAAGGGAACATTTTCCGTGTGAAGAAAGCGGCCTTGAATTCGGGCTTCAAGGAGAATTGAGAGGCATGTATTAACGATTGTGTTTGCGCTGGGGGCGCGGGCCGTGAGATCAGCATCCATCACCGTCACCGTCGTCATTCGCATCGCCATTGTCATTGTACTTATGGGGGCACGCGCGGTACTTTCGGGGACACGTGAAGCGGCAAATGGCACCGCCAAGTGCATCATTATCGTCGTCGTCGTTGCTTGCACCGCTCCAGTCGTTGCTGTTCCCGTCCCTTCCTTAGTCACCCATGTCATTCTTTGAACATTTAAAATGCTGGAGCTTGAAGTCGGTCCGCGATCACCCCTTTCCGCGCCATTTCTTGACGTCGGCGTCCCTTGCAGAGGTTTGCGTCAGCCCCCACGTTAACATTGCAATCAGTTGCAATCGTTTACACCTCGCGACCGACATTGGAAGGGACACTTGCTATTTCGCCCAGGGGGTCCAGAATAGTAATTCAGGTACCCCGTTGACAGGGGTGTTCGGACAATTAGGTTACAATTGAAGGGGGGGTCGGTTTTGTTTTTTGGGGGGGTCGATTATCAAGGGATTTCGAGCCCTTGCATGTCTCCTATTCGGCCCTTCCTCAGCCGCTTTCGCTGGCCGCGCTTCGTTCGAAAAGAGTTGGCACGGTCTTGCGAGGCCCTTGCATCCTTATCGTGCATGCTTATTGGAAGCGTTGGCTGCACCACCACGCATCAGCAGGCGGCAGGAAACAGCAGCGAGCGGACGGGCGAACAATGGGCCATTCATTCATCACGCAAGAAAGGCGGTCTGGCAACACACATCAGGCCACCAGGCTAGCAGCCGTGCAGGCAGGACAGCAGTTGAGCATACAAGTAGGCACGCGACCCTTACCCTTGCGTGCGGCTTAAAGTCCACGGGCCAGCCCTAGTCTGCTACAACGCTGGGACTAGCGCGTGCGAGAAGGGCGGGCAGTGGCAGCGGGCTTTGGCGCTGCTCACCGAGATGCGTGACCTGAAGGTGGAGGCCGACATCATCACCTACAGCGCTGGGATCAGCGCGTGCGAGAGGGCCGGGCAGTGGCAGCGGTCTCTGGTGTTGCTCAGCGAGATGTCGTGGGCGAAGCTGGCGCCCAACGTTATCTTTTGTAGAAGCGCGGATCCAGCGCGAGCAGTAGTGACGGACTACGTCACGTAGAGATGGTTCGACGGCAGCCTGGAAGGCGTCCACGAGAGGTTGTGACGGCCCCAGGCTTCCCAACAGGGCCCCAGGACATAGGAGGCCTCCAAGAGGGCCCTAGTGTCGAACGGCTGTCTCAGACAGCTGCAAGAGTGTCCCACGACACCCTCGAGAGGGCCCCGAGAGAGGACTCGAAAGCATGGCAAACGGTCGATTTGCAATCATTCTTGCTTGGCCATGCGAGGACCCACGAGGCCGAAACATTGCTTGCAGATGCCTCCGAGCGGCCCCGAATACAGTTCAAGAAGGTTCCAAGAGGCCCAGAGGGTCCACGAGAGCCTCAGGCGCGCCTCAAGAGGGCCCCAGGCGAGCTTCCACGGATCTCTGTATTAATGTCCCCAGCGACGCCCCAGTGGGCACAGTAATGAGATCTTCGGATCAGCACAGTTTGTCCGCTATCCGAGGCATGCACCAGCTGTGTTTTGGAATTATGGGGCCTCGCACGTTTCGGGAGCATTGGCTCCGCGGTGTCCATCAGAGACAACATATCGCGTCCAGACAGGCCCAGTAATGACCCAAGTTGCCATCGACTCCATGCTTGTCTGCCTAGGTGCATGTCATGGTATCTCCTCTGCGCTACGCCATGCTAAGCTAGCTAGAACTTGATCGCGCGAGAAGTACGCACGCGAGAGTTCTGACATGCGATCCAAGCTTGACCAGCTGCTAGCCCGTGTGGATTTGAACCCAGGGGCTCACACTAGTCTCTCCTAGATTGAAGGCACACGCAGGCACACGCGCGTGCGAGAGTACGCTGTCTTAAAGACTCTTCCGGCGCCCTGGCAGGCCCCGGCGGGCATCTGGGGCGGCCCGGGGCCCCTTCTCAATGTCCCCAAGAGCCCCAAGACTCCCAAAGAGAGCCCCATGAGCGCCTAAAGACGGTCTCAGACGCCAACCAGGCCGCTCCCAGATGCCCAAGATACATTCCAACAGTGCTCCACGAGGACCCCCACGAGGGCCCCCAGAAGCAAACATCTTCCCAAACCATTTGACAACGTGCAGTTTTAGCATTTTCGTCCTCTTCGTGTTAGCAGCGTCCGAGACGGCTATAAATGTCCTCAAGGTCGCCTCCAAACGGTCGCAGAGGCCTCCAAGAGGGCCCAAAGGCAGCCCAAGACAGCCCCATGACGGCGGGGAATCAGGCTAAAGGAGGAATATGCGAAAATAATCAAACAATAGTCAGGGAACGATTGTTCGATTACTGTGAAGGCCTTACGGCCAGTGCCGCCGACCCTGAGAACGACGAAGATGAAAACGAGGGGGGGCAGGGGGAGGAGGATGAGTGGGAGGTGGAGGACGGTTGGAGAAGGTGGATGAGGGAGAGAGGAGGAGGGTGGAGAAGGATGTGGAGGAGAAGCAAGATGAGGAGAAGGAGGCAGAGGAGCAGGAGGAGGGGGAGCAGAGGGTGGGAGGAGGAGGAGGAGGAGGAGGAAGAGGAGGAGACCAGGGGCTTTCTTGGGACAGCCTGGGCTCTCTTGAGGCCGTCTTGGGCCGTCCAGGGCTCCTCTTGCGCCGTCTCGAGGCACTCTTGGAGGCCTCCTGGGCAATTTGGGGCTCTCCTGGGCTGTGTTGGGGCAATCATGGTTGCTCCTTGGGCCGTCTTGAGCTGACACAAGACCGAAGCGAACATCTTTCAATAACTTTCGGAGATTGCTGATGTTTATCTTTCGGGTACTCCAGAGGGTCCTGTTGGAGCCCTCTTGGGCTGTCTTGGGCCATCTTGGCGGTCTTGGTGGCCTTCCTGGGCCGTCTGGGATTCCTCCGAAGGCCCTCGTGGGCTAGCTTGGGGCTCTTTTGGTGCGGTCCTGGGCCATCTAAGGCCCCTCTTGCACCGTCTTGATGCCGACTTGGAGGCATCTTGCTTGGGTCATTTCGAGGGTCTTTTGGGCCTTTTGGGAGCAATCTTGGAGGCTTCGAGGGCCGTCTTGAGCGGACGGATGTTCGCAGCGAGAATCGTTCAAACATTGTTTAGGCAATCGGTGATGTTTGCGTCTTCGGGCTTCTGAAAGATCCTTTTGGAGCTCTCTTGGGCGGTTTTGATAGCTTCTTGGGCCGCCTTGAGGTCATCTTTGGGGGCCTCTTGGGGCTGAGCTCTCGAAATGTCCGTTCGGGTCCCCCGTCTGGGCACTCTGCTGGAGCCGTCTTGGGGGCCTCTTTGGCCGTCTTGGAGGCGTCTTGGGCTGTCTTGGAGCCCTCTTCGGCCGTTAGGGGACCCTCTTGGGGGCCCCTTGGGCCGTCTCGGGGCGATCTTGGGGGCCTCTTGGGCCGTCTGGGCGCGTCGGGAAGCGGAGGAGGCAAGAGAGACAAAGCTGAGTGCAAAGCACATGAGCACGAATGCCGTGGCCTTACAATGCGTCGCAATACCGCTTCACGGTTGCGCGCCAGGCTGCGGCAGAAATTACGCTATCTTGCCAGAGCAGCGGCAGGGCCTCCTCACCCCCCGCGGCCCGCGGAGGAGGCAAGACCGCCAACATAATTTCAAGAACGTATGGGACATCTATGAATTGTTCCTCTTGCGGCTCTCTTGGGCCTGGAGAGGCCTCTTGGGGCGTTCTGCAGGCCTCTTGGGCCGTCTGGAGGCCGTCAAGGCGTCTTGGACAGATCGTTCGGCGATTCGGGATTCTCTGGACTGTCTTTGAGGCCTCTTGGGGCACTCTTGGCCCGTCTTGGGGCTTTTTGGGGCTCCGAACTCCCCTGGGAGGCGTCGTATCGGACCCCCCCCGGGTCCCCCCACCCCCCGGCGGGGGAGGGATCGAAGGGAAAGGGCTCAATTGCAACGTTGCTCAACTTCGCTTTGGCTGGCGCGCTGAGGAGGTCACTGGGAAAGGGAGGAGCTTCGACGAGCCCAGCGAAAGGGGGAGGCAGGGAAAAGGGACAACAGAGACGATGACCAACGAATGACGGAGATAACGACTTGAACGGACAAGCCCCTCACACACGCCGACAGGGTTGGCGGATAATTCCCAACCATCCTTGGGTGTTGGGTCCTCGTTTTGAAGAGAGCGCCTCGCGTCTCCTCCTTGATTCCTTCCTCCTCCCTCCTCCCTGCGTTTCACCCACCCATTACAGCGCTTCGTGGCCCCATAGGGAGCTCCACCGAAGGACCCAGTGCCACCGCCCGCAAGCGTCACCCACACCCATTTCAGCACACCCCTCGCACGCTTCGTGGCCCCATAGGGAGCTTCACAGCAGGCCGCAGTGGCACCGCCCGCATGCGCCATCCCCACCCAGTACAGCGCTTCGTGGCCCCATGGGGAGCTCCACTGAACGCCCCAGTGGCACCGCCAGCATGCGTCGCCCCAGCGGCACCGCCCGCATGCGCCATCCCCCACCCAGTACACCGTTCCGTGGCCCCATAGGGAGCTGGCACCGCCCCAATGCGTCATCCCCACCCAGTACAGCGCTTCGTGGCCCCGTAGGGAGCTCCACCGAAGGCCACAGTGGCACTGCCCGCATGCGTCACCCCCCTCCCAGTACAGCGTTTCGTGGCCCCGTAGGGAGCTCCACCGAAGGCCGCAGTGGCACCGCCCGCATGCGTTACCCCCACCCAGTACAGCGCTTCGTGGCCCCATAGGGAGGTCCACCGAAGGCCACAGTGGCACCGCCCGCATGCACCCAGTACACCGTTTCGTGGCCCCGTAGGGAGCTCCACCGAAGGCAGCGGCACCGCCCGCATGCCTCACCCCCTCCCAGTACAGCGTTTCGTGGCCCCTTCACTGAAGGCCCCAGTGTCACCGCCCGCATGCATCTCCCCCACACAGTACAGCGCTTCGTGGCTCCTTAGGGAGCTCCACTGAAGGCCCCAGCGGCACTGCGCGTCCCCCCCACCCAGCACAGCGCTTCGTGGCCCCATAGGGAGCTCCACCGAAGGCCCCAGCGGCACCGCCCGCATGCGTCACTGCCCTCCCAGTACAGCGTTTCGTGGCCCCATAGGGAGCTCCATCGGAGGCCGCAGTGGCACCGCCCGTATGCGTCACCCCCCACCCAGTGCAGCGCTTCGTGGCCCCATAGGAGCTCCACCGAAGGCCGCAGTGCCACCGCCAGCATGCGTCACCCCCACCCGGTACAGCAGCGCTTCGTGGCCCCATCCCATAGGGAGTTTCACCGAAGAAGATATTCACAATTGCGGTACCCAGAACTGCATATGGTTCGGCCCTTCGCCAGATCCTGTGGTGTTGGGTCCTCGTTTTGAAGAGACAGTGCCCCGCATCTCCTCCTTCCTTCCTTCCTCCTCCCCCCTCCTCCCTCCTCCCGGCGTTTCACCCACCCAGTACACCGCTTCGTAGCCCCATAGGGGGCTCCACCGAAGGCCCCAGTGCCACCAGCCGCATGCGTCACCCACACCCATTCCGTGGCCCCATAGGGAGCTCCACCGAAGACCACAGTGCCACCGCCTGCATGCGTCACCCACACTCATTTCGGCATACCCCTCAGACGCTTCGTGGCCCCATAGGGAGCTCCACCGAAGGCTCCGGTGCATACGCCCGCATGCGTCACCCGCACCCATTTCGTCACATCATTCACAGGTTTCATGGCCCCATAGGGAGCTCCACCGAAGGCCACAGCCGCGTGCGCCACCCACACCCATTTCGGCACATCCATCTCACGTTTCGTGGCCCCATAGGGAGCTCCACTGAAGGCCACAGTGGCACCGCCCGCATGCGTCACCCAGACCCATCTCGGCACACCCCTTACTTGTTTCGTGGCCCCATAGGGAGCTCCACCGAAGGCCACAGTGCCACCGCCCGCATTCGTCACCCACACCCATTTCGACACACTAACACGCTTCGTGGCCCCATGGGGAGCTCCACCGAAGGCCCCAGTGCCACAGGCCGCATGCGTCACCCATACCCATGTCGTCACACCACTCACACGCTTCGTGGCCCCATAGGGAGCTCCAACGAAGGCCCCGTTGCCACCGCCCGCATGCGTCACCCACACCCACGTCAGAAAACCACTCACACGTTTCGTGGACCCATAGGGAGCTCCAACGAAGGCCACAGTGCCACCGCCCGCATGCGTCACCCACACTTAATGTCGGCACACTCCTCACACGCTTCGTGCCCCCAGAGGAGTGTCACCGAAGGCCACATTTCCACCTCCCGCATGCGTCACACACGCCCATTCCGGCACACCACTCACACGTTCCGTTGCCCCATAGGGAGCTCCAACGAAGGCCCCAATGCCACCGCCCGCACGCGTCACCCACACCCATTTCGTCACACCCCCCTTACAGTTCGTGGCCCCATGGGCTCCACCGAGGGCTCCGGTGCATACGCCCGTATGCGTCACACTCGCCCATTCCCGCACACCCCGCACGCGTGTCGTGGCCACAAACGGGTCTCCACCGAAGGCCCCAGTGCCACCGCCCGCATGCGTCACCCACCCCCATGTCGTCACACCACTTTTTCTTTCGTGGCCCCATTGGGAGCTCCAACGAAGGCCCCGTTGCCACTGTCCGCATGCGTCACCCGCGCACATTCTGGCACACCCCTCACATGTTTCGTGGCCCCATACGGAGCTCGACCGAAGGCGCCACTGGCTGCGTTCGCATGCGCCCACCGCGCCTATTTCGGCAAACCCCGCACGCGTTTCGTGGCCCGATTGGGAATTCTACCGACGGCCCAAGTGGCTGCTCTTGCATGCGCCCACCAGGCAATTTTCGGCACACCATTCACACGATTCGTGGCCTTATGGGGAGCTCCTCCGAATGCGGTACATACAACGACGGTACTAACAAGTGCATATGGTTGGTTTCTTCGCTAGGCTAATTTTTTTGGCTAGTTTCAGGGTATGTTTATTTGTCTGCCAAAATCCGCCTGCAGGGGGACATGCCCGACCTAAAATCAGGCGCCCAAGACGGCCCCAGAGGACCCCGAAAGGACCCGACGAGAGGCCCAAGACGGCCCATGACGGTCCCACGACGGCCCGAGAGGCGCCCAAGACAGCCCCAAGACGGCCCGAGAGGAGCTGAGGCGGCCAACGAGGGTCCCAAATGGCGCGGAGAGGGCCTGTTCCAACTTGTTTTAGAATCGATCACCAGAAATAATTTCGAACACCACAAAAGTACCGAAACTCGAAGGTTTTCACGTGTCTGGCCCTGGGAGACGCTCGTCCGACACTGTTTCGACACTGTTTCGACACTTTTCCAGATGCTCGAACTTTTGTTTGGGATGTGGTCTTTAAATGCGATGGGAACAACAAACCTCAAAGGTCCTCAACCAGCCACCAAGAAGCCCCAAGAGGCTTAACAAATAACCTTCACGAGAGGACGCCCGGCGCTCCTGGCATGCCCCAGAGAGCTTTGCCTCAAGAAACATCTGACAAAAGAGCCCCTCAAACCTAGCGGGGACTCTCATTGCTGAACCCTTTCATGTGGAGCCCTCTTGGATCCCTCCTGAGCTCCCCCTGGAGCGCACTGCGAGCCTCCTCGGCGATCCCGGAGTTTTCCTGCGAGTCTCTCGTCCGCTCATTCATCGGGGGCGGCAAAGAGGGGGGTGATGACCAGGGGGGGGGATCTCATGGCATGGGCCATGATGTTTCCCCAGATTGCATGGCGCTTCTTCTTATTTCACTATGTTCCTGGCCCCCCCCCCTGGTCCGCGCACATACCGCCGGCCATGATTGCACCCCCCCTCTTGGACGTCCCCCTCTTGGCCGCCCCCGAACTCAGGAGCCCCAGAAGGCCCCCGAGAGCCTCCAATTAAACAAAATGTCACATGACGGCGCGTCCGACCCAACAGCAGTTTTTGCAGATCTGTTGTGAAATGCCATGCCCTCTTAGAGCCCTCTTGGGCTTCCTTGGGAGCGCCCTGCCGGCTTCCCCAGTGATCCCCGAACCTTTCTGCAAGCTTCTCGGCCGCCCAATCAGGATCCCCCGAGGCGCCCCAGAGGGCCTCCAATTCCAGCTGGCATCCCTGCCAGCCCATGCAGGAACGATCGCCAGGCGAGCTGCTTTCATCAGGGATGCCCAGAATCCTGCAGTTTAGTAACCGCCTTGGAAGCGATTCGCGGGCGCAGAAATGGCGGGAACATGTACTGAATGTTTAAACCTAATATGTTCCCATGCCAGGATGGCTTCATTGGGGTCCCCTGGGGTCCCTCTTGGAGTTATCTTGGGCCCCTTTCGGGGCGGGGAGGCTATTTGTGGAGGAGGAGGAGAAGACCATGTCGGGAAGAGAGGAGACAGAAGAGAAGATGGCGAACCAGAAGATAGATAGGAGGAAGAAGGAGACGACGATGAAAGCGACAACAACAACGACGAGTCAGCCAAAAACCCTTCCGGAGCTTTCGGTCCGAAAGCCGCTTGGAATATACACTTCGGAGCCATTTCGGAAGCATGTGGAGCTCTTGGGGAGGGTCTTGGTGGCCACTTGGGGTCGTCTTGTGCCCCATGGCTCAAAACGAGGGGGGTAATCAGTTCAGGTCCCCCCCTCGGAGGCAGAACCATGGCGCCTTGTAGGCCTCTCGGGCCGCTCTTGGAGCGCTCCTGGGGCCATGTTGGGAACCTTTTGGGCCCCTCCTGGGGCTCCCCTGGGCCATCCTGGAGCCACCGTGAGGCTGGAAACATGCAACCAGAAGCGAAACAATGAGAAGACAACATCGGTCGGGTGGTAATAGGGGTTGGCTTACGTGGGAGGCGGGATGAAGACAAGAGCCCTGAAGGGGCCCTTCTCTTCACCCCCCACGTAGGTCACCCCCCATTGCCACCCGCCCGCCACAACACATTGAGGTTCCTTAGCTGTTTGAAGGATTTCGGCTTGTTTGGGAGTGCCTTGGAAGACTCCTGGGGCCCCTGGGATTGTTTTGGAGCTGTCGTGGAGCCTCTTGGAGATATGCCAGAGGAAATGGCTTGGGCCAGCTTGGATGCCATCATGCGCTCTCTGAGCCCCTCTTGGAGCCATCTTCACCTCGCCACCTCGCGGGGCGCCCCGTCCAGACCCAGGGAAGGGGGTAGGGGGATCGGTGAACCCCTCCCCCGAGCAGGGGAAGGAGGAGTGTTGGAAGAGAGAAGACACGGACTCGCCAAACCACCTATGCCCAGAGGGCTGGTGAGAATTGACGGACATCTCAAAACACGGCATGTCCAACCCAGCAGCTTCCAGCTACAACCAGTAGTAACAGCACGCAGTTGCGGTAAGTAAGCATTCCGCACAGCACGTAGCAGCGGCAGCAAGCAGCAGCACGCAGTAGCATGCGCGGAATGCGGCGTTCGAGCCTCACGTGATCATGTCAGACTTTCGGCAGCATGTCCACCACCACATGCCAGTTCTTGCAGATTTCGTCGACGTAGTCCACGGGTAAGCTCTAGTCAGCTACAATGCTGGGATCAGCGCGTGCGAGAAGGGTGCGCAGTGGCAGTGGGCTTTGGCACTACTCAGAGAGATGCGGGAGGCGAAGCTGGACCCCAACACTATCAGCTACAGCGCTGGGACCAGCGCGTGCGAGAAGGGCGGGGAGTGGCAGCGGGCGCTGGCAATACTCAGCGAGATTTGGGAGTCGAAGCTGGAGCCCAACGTCATCAGCTACAGCGCTGGGATCAGTGCGTGCGGCAAGGGCCAGCAGTGGCAGCGGGCGTTGGCAATGCTCAGCGAGATGAAGGAGGCGAAGCTGGAGCCCAACGCCATCTATGTTGCAGTGCTCGACGTCGGGCGTGCGAAGAGGGCATTTGATTAAACTTCCTGGTGGCGTCGCCCAGGAGGCTACGCTCGGGCCGCATTGCCGATCCATCGAAGAAGAAGAAACGCCATACACAAACTTTTGGCGCTCCGCGCGGATTTCTTGGATCCGCGCTGGGGCCCCCTGGCGGCGCCTCCGGCGCCGCCCCTAGCGCGCTCCGCGCGCCAGGGATGGGGGTCCAGCGCAGATCCCAGAAATCCGTGCGGAGCGCCAAAAGTTTATACTTTTGGCGTTTTTCTTATTCGATTCTTGGTGGCTGGTTGGGGACATGCACGGTTATCTTTTGGTCCTCTCCGGGCCACTCGGGACCCTCGTGGGCTCCCTGGGCTCCTCTCGGGCCGTCTTGGGGCTGTCCTTGGGCGCCTCTCTCGGGCCGTCGTGGGGCCGTCTTGGGCCGTATCGGGCCTCTCTTCGGGTCCTTTCGGGGTCCTTTGGGGCCGTTTTCGGGGGAACGAAAGGGGAGGATAGCAACGGGTAGGGTAGACAATCAGCTCACGTAGCTCGGGCCGCATTGCCAACCTGGCGATCCAGCCGAGGCCCTCCAGATTCTGGCCCCGAACGGATCTCGAGAGGCTACAGGGTTGTTTCAGAGAGCTCCCCCTAGAGAGGCGCACCGCGGCGCACGAGAGGCTTCATGAGAGGCTCGAGGGGACCAACCATACGAGAGGCCCCGTCTGCTGACTTACTGTGATAGGAGGAGGAGGAGGAGGAGGAGGAGGAGGAGGAGGAGGAGGAGGAGGAGGAGGCGGAGGAGGAGGAGGGAGAGGAGGAGGAGGGAGAGGAGGAGGAGAACCGCCCACGACTGCCCGACGACGGGCCATTTGTCTCGGAAAACGGCTGAACTGGACCCCGATGGTGATCATTGTTTATTATTTGCTTTGCCGATCGGCGCGGGCCCTCAAACCCCCCCTCCTGCCCGATGGGGTATATTTTGTGTGTTTTCCGGCGCCTGTTTCGAGCGGGTGGAGTCTCCCCTGGAGGCAGTACTCTTGCAAACAGTCGCACTAAGCAGAGGTCTGGAGTAAAAACGTTCACTATCGGTCAGCTTCACGTGGTGTCCACAGCTATGCCTTCCGCAAGTTTTCGTCCCCAGGGCTTCGCACTGCCTCGGTGTGCCCCAGCAAGCCCCGAAGGGCCTCCAGATGGCCCCACAGGGTTTCAACAGGGCTCCAGGGTGCCCCACGAAGCTCCCAAGAAGGCCCTTGACAGCGCCAGGAGAGCCACGTAACGACTCCGGAGTGCCCCCAGAGGGCCCACGACGGCTTCTGGCTCCGAAACGGACTGCGAGAGCCCGCTCGAGGGTGCCACGACGGCCCCAGAGGGCTCCTGGAGAGTTCCGAGACGGCCGAGGTCGGCTTCAAGAGTGCCCCGTGGTGCTCCCAGTGCGGCCCAAGAGCCCCTTGTACGGCCCCCCAAGGAGCAGCAGCCAGCACCAGCAGCCACGAGCAGCCAGCGGCGACAATCAGCAGCGGCGAGGTCCAGCGACAAGCGACAGTAGCAGCACATGATGCGTGCGTGCATGTAGCAATACGTAGCAGCCAGCAGTTCGCAAGCAGCAGCAGCAATTATCACTAAGCGACAGAGATCGGCAGCACCACGCCGCAGCACGCACCAGCACGCACTAGCAACCAGCATGGAGTATTAGCAAGAAGCAGCAAGCGGCAGCAAGTAACAGCGCCTACCCGACGCAGCACCAGGTGCCATCAAGGGATCGATAGGTGGAGAAGCACAACATGAAGCAAGCAGGAACAGCACACAGGCCAGCATGCCAGCAGACCCAGCGACAAGCATGCAAGCAGGATCGCAGCCGCGTGCGCAGCACAACAGACAGGTAGGCAGGCTTGCAATGCGAATGAACAAGCATCAGCAGCAGCGGCAGAACGCACTAAAACAACAGTAACTGGGAACATCGAGGAGCAGCCCGCAGCTGCGGCAAACAGTAACGGTTTCACCAGCAAGCATGCGATAGCAGGGCCGCCTTGGAACCAGTACCAATTGGGCGCATTCATCACCAAGCAAAAAACAATAGCAAGCAGCGGCACCTTGCTGGGCATGCAAGCGATGACATGCGCAAGCAAGCAACCAACACGTTTGGCAAGCCTGCCAGCTGGAAGTTGCAGGAGATGGTTGTCAGTCCCGCAGGCTAGCGGTCGCGCGCACAGGACTCGCCAGCATGCAAGCAGGCAAGCGATCTCCAACCTTACCTTTGACGCGAGAGAGATCGTCAACGTAAGCCCACGGGTCAGCCCCTGGTTTCTTTTACGATGAAGCGCCCTTTGCGTGCCAGACGGTCCTGGGTCTTGATCCCTTTTTTTCCGGCCCCGCGACGTTCCGAGGCAGTTCGAGGGCTTCCTGAGGTGCCCCAAAACGGCCGTTAACGGATTCAGGACGCATCAGAGAGGCTCTCGGGGGCGCCACGACGGTCTCCGAGCACCCCAACAAAACCCCAAGACAGCCCCTCATAGGCCCCCGAGGTAGGCAAGGAGGCTTCCAAGACGGCCCAGGAGGACCCCATGAAAACGACAAGAGGTAATAATCGCCCATTACATTTGTCCATGTTCGTTTCTCGTCCTCTCAGCGCCCAAGAGGACTACACACATGCCCCTAAGAGATCGCCCCACGACGCCCCGAGCAACCCCCGGGGCGGCCTCACAGCGGCCCGAGACGGCCCTGGGACGGCCCCGGAGGCGCCCGAGGCCGCCCCCACCGCGGCCCATGCTGGCCCAAGTTGGCCCCAAGACAACCCAAGAGGTTTCCAGGAAAGAGACGGCCCGGGTTTTGTACAAATCTTGTATTATTCGCCCCCCGGGTTAGGTTTTTTAGGGCGTTTTCTTTGTAACTGGGAGGGTTTGGTTTATTAGGGCGCTTTCTTTGGATCGGACCCAGAATACCATCCGATCCCGAATCGGAACCGATGCGCCAACGGTGTACACCCGATCACTTTTACATGCGAAAGTGTTCCGGAAATCTTCAGAACATCAAAAGATCATGGTTCATGCAGAACTGTTGGATTCGCATCGGAATCTCGACACATACGCTTCGCGACCCACACACGGGCAGGCAGCATTTTGGAACTGAGCCACGTGACCGTGATTGGTCGCATTCGCTTTGTAAAGTGGGGGAACGAGGGGAGAAGGGCGAGGATATAAAGAGAGAGAGAGAGAGGAAGATAATAAAAAAAATTACATAACCATATAGGTTAGTGAGGGGGCCGTCTACAGGAAGGGGGGGCCACCCAAAAACGCTAACAGCCAGGCCGGGGGGCGCAACTAAAATGTAATATTCAAAATTACGTTTTTGTCCGAAGGCATGGTTTGGAAAATCCAGAATTATGTTTTGTTGTTGTTGTTGCCCTGAAGGGCTGTGTGTGCTTGAATTCATAAATCGCGATTTTATTGTGGGAAGGCTTTGCCTCTTTCGCCCTTCTGGAAGTGTTGTTGCACGATGAACGCCACGTGCGAAACGTGTTTGTGGGGCTTTCCGTGTGTAGTTTCATTGGCGGTTGGATGCGTAGTTGGTTTCGTTACTGTTCGTATCCATCACGGTCCACCCAGCAATAGCACCCAGGCGAAATTTCTTGATCAGGGAAGTGCGGGAACATTCCGTGTAACGAAGAGAACTTGATGGGGAAGCCGTCAAACTGAATCTCGTGGGTCAGCCTGGGCACGCCCGGGTGTGAATGCACATTCGCGGCCCTTGCCGAAACAGGCAGGGCGCAGAAGAATGATGAGGAGGCGGGGGAGGGGGAGGCGGGGGAGGAACACGAGGAGGACGAGGACTAAAAGGAAGAAGGGGGGAGCGACGGGAGTAGCAGGAAAAGGGCGAGCAGAAGTATGATGACATTGACTGCGCAAGCTTTGGGGGGGAGGAGGAGGAAGAGGGGGAGGAGGAGGAGAAGGAGGAGGGGGATGAGGAGGGGGAGGAGGAAAGGAGGAGGAAGTGGAGGAGGAGGATTGGGCGAAGAGGAGGAGGAGGAGGAGGAGGAGGAGGAGGACGAGCGTACAACGCGCACGCGCGCGTGCGCGCGAGGTGTGATGTCTGCATCGTTCTCAGCGGTCTGGCAACGAAGGGGCCTGGAAACGAAGGGGTTGTTGGGCGGTGACCGAATGGGTGTTCCAGGTAGCGCGGGGCTGCAGCGCGCCAGCCAAGTGGCTCAGCGCGCAACGCGCCCGCGCGCGCGCGCCGGCGCGAGCTGTGAATTCTGTATCACTTATAATAGAAGTGCCGCAATGTTGGCATGGAAGCTCAAGTGGTCCCCTGGCGGAGACCGATTGGATTTCCGATTTACCATGGGTTTGTAGCGCGTCGGTGAAGTGGCTCAGCGCGCAACGCGCCCACGCGCGCGCGCGGGCGCGAGCTGTGAATTCTGTGTTATCCACAAAAGAAGGGCAGTCGTGCTGTCCTGGAAACTAAAGTGGCCCCCCAGCGGTGACCGACTGGATTGTCAAATTGACATGGGGATGTAGCATGTCGGCCAAGTGGCTCAGCGCACAAGTCGCCCGCGCGCGCGGGAGCGAGCCGCCACTCTGCGTTATCCAGAACAGAAGGGCCGCCACGGTGGCTTGGGAGTTCAAGCAGCCCCTTAGTGGTGGCCGATTTCTTTTTCCAATTTAACATGGGCTTCTAGCATGTCGGCCAAGTGTCTCAGCGCACAGCGCGCCCACGCGCGCGCGAGCTGTGAGTTCTACCCGCAATAGCAGGGCCGCCATGCTGGCCTGGGAAATCAAGCGGCCCTTCAGCGGTGACCGGTTGAATATCCGAGATAGCTCGAATTTGTAGCGTTTTGGTTAAATGGTTCAGCGTACAACGGGCCCACGCGCGCGCGCCCGCTTGCGCTCGCGCGCGCGAGCTGTGAATTCTGTATCACCAACAATAGAATGGCCGCCATGTTTGCTTAGAAACTTAAGTGGCCCCTTAGCAGTGACCGACGGACTTCCAAGTTAGCAAAAGGT